ATTTTTTATTTCAGAATTCAGAGCAAAGTTTTGGTGAAAAGGCCAAATGTTTTGCAAAAAAATTGATGATTTATTTTCTTCAAGGATCTTACTTTTAAAAAAATCCCCGCCCTAAAAATTTAATTTCTCAAAATTTCATGAAATTAAGTAAGTGGGTGGTAACATGTAAATAAATATTATTTTTAACAAGATTTTCTAGCAAAATTTCAAGAATAATTTTATTCATTTCTATGTCCTGAAAATTTCGTTAAAATCTTACAATTATTTGATTTTTGCAACCAAAATTTTCAACATGCTAGAAAATATCAAAAATACTTTGGTCTTACAACATTTTAATTTTATTGAGTTTGGGGCCTTTTTTTCATCATTATATGCAATTTTTTACGCGACCAAGTGGAGGTACCTATATATATATATATATATATATATATATATATATATATATATATATATATATATATATATATATATATATATATCAGGACTGGCAAAGTGCAGCTGCATGACACGGTATTGATCTCACAAGATGTGGAAAGATTTCCTTGATGTTTGAAAGTGCATGATCCCATTAAAGGCTCCATTAGGATCATTTCAAGAGAACATAGCGGACACACCATCAAACAGAAATCTTCAGAGTGATCATCAATTCTCAAAGCAACCCTTGGAAACTTGGGCATGGTTCTGTCATAATCTACCATTGTTGAATTTATCCAAATAGTCACGAAGCAATGCAATATAGCAGAACGATAGACTCTCAACTACAATTAATGATCTATCGAAAGGCCGCAGAATAACAACCTGGAAGTATCAGAAATGAGATTAAGAAAACATGTAAAAAAAAATTAATAATAAATGCTATATATTATGACAGATTGGCGGCTATCTACCATTGTTTTACAGTTGAATGGCAGCATATAAGTTCTGTGGTAAGAGTTTCTACTCTCGCACTTCTCGCACTTCTCGCACGTGGAGCTCTCTTTTGGTTTACTTTCCAGTCAAATTTGATGTTCAAAAATTTAAATGCAATGTCAATCATTATCTTCTGTCTTCTTAATTCCCGTCCCTTTTTTTTGTTCCCTCTCCTTAATAATGTTTTCTTTTTCTCATATTCTGTCACACCCAGTAACCCTCATGCATCTCAGTTGTTTTAATGCTTTGTTTGGAATGAAATGAAAAAAATAAGAAGTTATTCACGACTTGGCTGATAAACTCTACTCCATATCACTGTCTTCAATCAGAGGGGGGCTGAAGAGGGGGCTGGGAAAAGTGCTAATTATAACACTATTGTTTTGTGTTCTCCGGTTTTACAAAGAACTTTTTACAGGCAACATTAACACTATTATTTGACGATAATGCTGAATGCTTCTTTTCGTCATTATTTACAAAGAAAAATGAATATAGACTCAAACATATTTTCAAGTAATTCTAAGGAATGCACATTGAAATAGTAACATTAGAAAAAATGCAGTCATTGATTAATTGCAAGGAACTAATTTTATAAGGAGTTTTCATGTTTGCTTCAGGAAACGTTTCTTTCAATTCTGTGTGGCGAACTCTATGTGTCTGGTGTGATCAGATTTTTGCTCATGGTCTTCTGAATGAAAGAGGTTTTGAGATTTTTTTTACAAAAAAAACAAAACAAAACAAAAAAAACACAAAACCCCCCAATAAAAACAAAGAAATTTAGCAAAATTTCAATAGCCAAAACAAAGATGATTGCTATGAATAACGGTTTCTTAATTTAATTTTTCTATTGAAGTCAATTGAATCTCAATTAATTGTAATAGTAATGAGAAAACATTCGTCATTCATTGAGCGAACAGTTACGGCTGGTTGATATTTATAAAATCTGGAAATTAAACTTTTCAAGTTCACGAAATGTTATAGCTCTTTCTAGTATAGAAGAGGGTTTCCTTCCGGATATTCGGCTTGAATTCTGTTAGAATATGGCTTTTTCTGAGAAATAGAAAATTTCTATATTCCGTCCCCCTTTTTTTCGTCTCTTCAATGTGCACTGAAATCGCCTAACAAAATCATGTCATTGATTTTATTTCCATCAATAACACTACTGTCGCTATTTCAGTTTTTTTCAATCGAACTTTTCGTGGATCGATTTTGAAAGAATTTTATTTTGTATAATCTTCTTACCGCTATTCCATTTGATATACTATCTAAATTTCGCCATTGCCAAGATACCACTAAGAACTAAAACTCTTACATTACCAAATTGTTATTCGCCTATCCTTCATAAAAAGGTAAATAGTTACTTTCAGTTAAAATAGGTTCCTTCTCTCCTTTCCTGCGAGTCACACTAAACTTAGGTTGAGACAATTCCATCATTAGCTAGTCCAATTTGCAGTTTTCAGCTCTACTTTGAACACTATGTAAATCTTCATGATTTTAATTTTGTTTAATATCCAAGTCTTTGTCAGGTTTAGTCAATGTCTGCTTACCATAGGTGGTAGTCTGCGTACACGAGACTATATAGTTGCACCTTTATTATTCAAAAGGAATATAAATATATAATTGGGTCCTCATTTTGGGTTTTCCTGCTGAATCTCACTGTTACCTGCCAGGTGCCGTTAACTTCCACCATTAGTTGCTCTTCTTTGAAATGTTCATCTCTGCTTTGAATTATATTTATGTATAACGTCAGGTCGTTAATGCAAGTGGTACACTTGCGTCCGACGAATGAAGTATTGCCCCTGGACCTTTATTAGACGATGATCCGACAAGGGCCTCAAGAGTATGTATAGTTTGACAGTTATTTGTTTGTTTTTTGTTTTTTTTAAGCTGCTAACTAATTACACCAACACATTGACACTAAATTTTTTGTAAGCTTCATGGGTAAGGTTAACACTGATCTCAAATATGCTTTTCTCAGGAATCAATCATATCCAATTTCGATGAATTAAACCATGGATATTCGATCTTTGAAAGCTATTGGATTAGAAGAAATTGTTGCTAAAATCCGCTACACGAGCAATTGGCTCGTTTGAATGACATTGAAAAGAAAATCTTTTTACGTGGGCAAAGTAGTCGATGATTGCATGAAATATCTTTACAGATGCGATTTATGCAATTATGGCGCTTGCGGAAATAAAATTTTTACTCATACGGAAATTCGTGAGCTACGTTCAAATTCACTTTTGTTCGCTTCATTTAACATTACTTGCCTGGAAAAGGTTGTGAATATGGAAGAAGTCATCTAAGAATTAGTTGAATCTAATCGTTCTTTTATTATGAACTACACAAATGAGGCATAAAAAGACAAAAGATTGATTAATGATCCTATGAATGTATCTAAATAAAAGTTTTTATCAAAAGAAATGTTGAAACCATTTGCATTAACTTTCGAATTAAGAATAAATGATAAGAGGAGACAGGAGAAGAGAGAGATTTATTAAAAAAGTCGGGATTTTTATTTGTTAAACCGACAAAAATAAACAAATGCGGTGAATAAAAAAGCATAAAATATTTGTGCAACATTTTCAGGGTTACAGAGAGAGAGAGAGAGAGAGAGAGAGAGAGAGAGAGAGAGAGAGAGAACGTGATTCGGGGGAGAAAACATTCAGGCTGCATTTAAAATTTTTGAAGATCGTAGTTGACAGAAAAATCAAGAAGCCAGGCGAGAGACCCGCCAGCGAGAAATACGGATAAACAAAGTATTGGCATAAAACTTAGGGATCCATCTAAGCAAGTTCAACAGCGAAATTATGAGACCGAGAAACTAATTTAGTACATCGAATAAATTCGTGAAGTCAACGTACCATAGAAGAAAACTCAGCAAAACCTTTACCATGAAAAGATTTATAGAAAAAGCAAAGGGAAAACAAGTTACAACGGTTGGGGGAAGTAATTGAAGCCGAGATGAGAGATCAGGATCAATAATATTGCAGATTCTTGTTTGAATCTTGTCAAGTATCTCTAAATGTAGCAATATTCAATACAGGAACAAACTAGAGACTTATAAATGTGCAATATTTATTTTGGCGAGAAGAATTGTCTAGCACCACAATGAATATATACAACACACACACACACACACACACACACACACACACATATATATATATATATATATATATATATATATATATATATATATATATATATATATTATGTATTATTTTAATACCTATACTCAGGCGGTGTGAAAAAAACGGCCGGATAATACAATTTGCAAATAAAAATATATTTGAACAAATCGATATCTGGGGAAAAAATTCAGTAAAAAAAAAAGAAAAAAATCATCCTTGTTGTTCGAAAATAATCGATCAGCACCGCAATGCCTATTCAAAATGGTTGAGCAAATTAAGTAAAAACGTAAAAGTGCTCAATACGCTACGTAGAGCAAAAACGAAAAAAACTAGTGAGTCAGCAACTACCTGCCAAGGTTTCGCCTTCAGGGTAAAAAACTGACTAAAAGGTAGGTCCAAGCGACATTTTATTGATAAAAACAGCCACCGTAAAAAGATAAAATTAGCATTAACGAGACCAAGACAAGAGAGCAAAATGGTAGGCCAATTTTTTATTGAAAAAACGGCCAGCAAATACGAATAAAATAACGCTTGGACCTATCCTCATAAGCCAGTTTTTTATCCTGAAGATTGTGTTAGGTGAAACCTTGGTAGCTAGCTCACTAGGTTATATATATATATATATATATATATATATATATATATATATATATATATATATATATATATATATATATGTGTGTGTGTATAAATGATAATTTCTAGGAAAAATTTCGGAAAATATTAATTTCCATTTATCGATAATCAATACTAGTTGAGGACTAAATTTTTGTTCCGTTTTAACCAAAGTATTTATCGAATGTTTTGCTCTTCATTAATGTTTTAAGTGCAGTCAGTTTTAGAAAGAAAATTTTAAAACATTTCTACTTTCAAAATTTACTATCAAATTATGTAGATTACTTATGTAAAATGTAAGGTAAACGATAAATAATGTTACGATTATAAACAAGTTATATATAAATGCTTCAATGTTTATCAGTCTGTTTGTATCAGTATCTTCTTAATCTATTTGTCTGTCTGTTTTTCTATCTATCTATCTATCTATCTATCTATCTATCTATCTATCTATCTATCTATCTGTTTACATTCTACTCTATTCCGCGATGCTTATCATTCTATTATTAATACCTACAAAGTATATTTAGTCAGTAAGCATTTATACAAACAAGTTTAGCCGACGAATTTTTTATATATTTAATTTTCCAATAAGTTGAGTCGAAAGTGTGGATAAATTGACGAAATTGATGTTTTTTATATTGTTTTTCTTCAAGTACTTTCGACAGTTTGTCATTATCAAAATCTATGTACTGTTCATGTAGTAAGTAAAGATTCCATTAGCTCCATCCTGGTATTTTATAGAGAGCTGAAAAATCCTAAAACAATCCACAGTAGCGTCATCAGTAACTATTCAAGAATACATCAATGTCCTTAATATTTATGTATATAATACACAAGCACTCACAGAATTTAGCAATCTCATCTCTCAGTATATTTAAATACTTTTAAAATCCGCAATAGCTAAATGAGAATCACAGTTTAGGAAAACATCGATATTCATATGGAGACATCTTTATTGTTCGGAGGCGCGTACACTGACTGACTGTTTTTTCGTTATTTCATCTTTGTGACAGAATAACTTTCGTACATTTTCTGAAGGACAACTTTCAACCACCAAATAGGAATCGGAATCAACAGAAGAAAAGCCTTGATTCTTTTGGTTTCATTCTAAAAAATGGAATTCGTATCCATCGATTATCATTATTTGACATTTCTGTTGACAGTCCCCCAACGATTTTCTAAACATTCTGAAGGTCATTAGAGATTTCCTTTGTCAAAATTCACGTTTTAACTCGCACCAGTTGCCTAACCCTAACCCCTAACCCTATCAGCCTAATTGTAAATAATAATACCAAACAAAAGGCGAAATACTCACTTTGCATGACATAAATAAAAACCCCGTTATTATATATTATTGTTACACCTGGAAACTTTGCTTAGTCGTCCTAACATAGTGAAAATGACGCCCATGTCATTACCGTATTTGGTTTGCGTTGCGTTCCGATCGATTTGTAATCCCATTTGTTTGCAACACGGTGTGGTAGAATGTTCATTTATTTCTAATGCATTTATAACAATTCCCAAACGAATGTTTCTGGAGTTAAATATATTATTACACAAAATGAAAAGATATAAAAACAAATGACTGGCAAAGAAGTTTTTGAACTGAAATATATTCTTTCACAAAATGTAAAGATCTGAAAGCAAATGGCAAAGAAATTTAAGCAGACGGTTCCCCTCTGCGTTTTCTTTGTGTGAATGTAATGGAGGATTGCCGTTTATAAAAATATCATCTTCTTTTTTGAAGTGATTGTCTATTTCTTGAACAATAATTCCACATCTACCTTAAAATCAATCTGTCATCGTCTCTCCATTTGACACTTGATGTAGGCCCAGCAATTCATCACATATAATCGCAGTGCAAAACATGGCATCATCTCTTCCTTTTTGATTTTTCAGCCCAACACGTGTTTCAACCGTCAGAATCATCTTCAGTGTTCTCGCATATGTAGTCGCTTGATTTTGAATCCATCATCTTACGATTGTCGGTAGTTTCTTGCTGCCACAAAGCCTAAAAGTGTTTATAGCTTAATTAAAAGACAGATTTTTAAATATTATTTTTTGATCCTGACGAAAGAGAAAAAAGTTGTCAGGTCTAATATCGTTCGTTTCTTGTAAAAGCAAGAATTTGATGATTCTCTAATTTCTATGTCGAATTTCCTGTCTCATCAAAAAATGCGAATAAGAAAAAAAGAAATGAAAAAAGTTTTTTCTTCTGCACAGGAAGTTTGCTTTTTGAATTGGTAGACAATGATTTTATTTCGTTGAGCATTCGGTTCTATTTAAACGAAATTCAAATTCCTCGTGTCTCTAAAACAATGAAATTCGAGAATAAAAACGTTGGTTTGCAAATATCCCAGCTCAGTATACAATGAAGGATAAATACTTAAATAATAAAATCGTCAAATCTTGCCAATCAAACCTGAACCAGAACATCCAGGATCTTTAACAAACTTCTTCAATATTCGATTATATCAATGGCGATTATCTTTGCAAACTTTAGAGTAGCCTTAAAAAATTTTAAACTGTGAAATTATTAAATCTAATTAAGTTATTATTTCTCTTCGTTAAATTAAAATATTCGGGCTCGCAACATGGGCTTTCATTTTGAAGTTCTATTTCTTAAAAATAGCCACTCAGAACGAACTGTTTTGTATCTTAACCACAGGCATAAAACTTACGATTTAAACTTTTATTTGATATCGAGAATGAAACATAAAATGGCTAATAACGTGAATGTATGAAGACATATAGTAGATATTTTAAAAAAATTTCCATCGAAAGAATTCATGTCTTAATCAAGAACATCTACCATAAAAAGAAATGAATCGAGGGAAAAAGAATCAGTAAAGGAAAAATCAAATGAACAAAAAAATAAAAGTCTTGTTTACAAGCTTGTTTCGTTAATAAAGTGTGAACGATCCCCAAAGGTTGTTTCATTATTGCCGTTTTTTCAAGACCTCTAAATAACTTAAGCGAGATGCCACCAAATATTTTTCAGTTTCTTCATTTAAATGCATGCAAGTTTGAAGTAATTTTTTTTTGAGAGAAAAGGCAAGAAAATGAATTATATCACAATCGATCTGGTAGAAATATTTTCTTTAAAATCCAAAAAGCTTTTTTCCCATAAAAATACTTCTCTTGGTGACGAAAACTATTTTTTACAATTTGATTAACCAATTAGAAAATCATATTTCAATAGAGGTCTTTTCGTGAAAATTCTTATTTATCTCGCGACATCAATTTTAATATGCTCTGGTATATGTCATATTCGTTTTAGTTCAATCATTGCATTCAATTTCTTTATTCAGTATTTTATCATTATCTTTATACGAAGGTAATGATAAAATACTACGCAATAACTCCAATAAAGCGGTCTTGATTGGTTTAAATTGTTTTACAGTATATCATCCTTTTGCCAAGTTATTTAGTGTCGAAGTCTGTCGTTTTCATAAACAATAGACAGACATATGTCTGGTTTGTGCGAGAGTTAAAATATTAGTCTGGTTTGCAGGATAATGAAAAAGGTAGATTTGCGTACGATAAACTAATTTTGTGTGGTTTACGTCTCTACATGGGGATGCAGTTGACGTATTCTTGACTTCTTGACCGACAGGGCATCCAACAAAGAGGAAACGGTATGAACATTTATTGACATTAAACTGGCTGACAAGTATGTCAACAATATTATCATATCTATTAAGAAATTCTAAGATAGATATTTATTTAAAAAAGTCACTGCATGGGTGGATTAAATATCTAATAGGATAATTATCAGAACAACATGGACTGGTATTTTTCAACAAGCTTCAGACTCTCGCATTTAGTATCTGCTAAATATATTATTTCTTAAACAATTTTGTTACCATTGTGTCGATCTTCAGGGGAATAATTTCAGAAAAAAGATTTTGCCATTGAGTTTGCTCATTTGCACATTACAATGTCTTCAATGTGACCTTTATTCTTCCACTAATCTTTTTTACTAACATACAACTAAGTGAATAAACAAGGGATGGTATTGTGTATTTAAAATGAAATATTTATCTCCCTGTTTTCCCTATTAATAGGGCCTCATAGTATTAATATACAATTGCTAATTTGGCAGTAATTCAACATGGCTACATGGTACTTAGAGATTATATACATACACATGTTATCAGGCTTTTAGTATAATATTCGACTTTAATGCTAAAACTATACTACGATTCTTTCGGATTAACATCCCTATCTTTGTTGTTTTTAGCACGTCGTTTTCGTCTATCTACATTTCTGCAGTCTTCAAGTGTGTGTTGTAATCGGCAATATCAAACTTTTCCTTTAATTTAAGACATTCTGAGGACGCAACAGTTTGAAGGAACATTTTGTAAAAAGTTTGACAACAATAAAATTCGATGCACTGTTAAGAAAGATATTTTAGAAACAATTCTCATTGGAATATTTTACTAAAGTCGACGACTCAAAAAGAAGTTAATTTACAAATATGACAGTTGCTTCCACTTGAATTATTAATAGTAAGTTCGATCCCTACTAGACGTTCCATACTTGTAGACATTCTAAGCTGCAACTTTGTAAATTCCAGTTTTTAATGTTCGAAAAATAAAGAAGTACAACAAATATTGACATGAGAAGAATCGAAGAAAATGTATCAACCGAAAGATGTTAAAAAAAACAGACAAAGATGTGGATACTCGATTGTAAAATGTGTGAAATCAACAAATACTTCAATTAGAATATAAAAGAAAATGTTTGCTAAAACTCAATTTGCAAACAATTTCTTTCCACTCGTTTGTTTTCACGGCTGTAAATTAAATTAACTTTTCAGTCGGAATGTTTTAGATCCAAACATCTTTATCTCTTCCTGTTTCGTATTTAGAGTTGCTTTATTTGTTGCAATGTTGGTTGAGAAACTCCAGTTGCAGAATTCTGCTTTTCATGGTTTAGCAATTTGCTTCAGCCCTTCGCAAAATAGTTTTGTCTTTTTAACATCTTGCAGGATCGAACCTTTTTTATAATGCCATATCCTACGCGATCATTGCTTCCCATACATTTCTATGGATTTTCATAACTTCTTCGGAAAGATTATGAAGTGTTTTCCCTTTGCCTCCTATATAGTTTTGAATTCAGAATTGTCTTTTTACTAGACTGGTTGCCATTCAAATCTAAAGAGCCAAGTCTATCCTGCTTGTGTGAGAATTGAGGTAAAAGGTCATTAGTGCGTCGATAGCCCTTATCCTACCTTATACATCGCTGGATCGAACTTGCTCAGATAAAAAATGTGGGAAAAAATACAATAGGAACTAATTAAAAGTATAAAATAATAATAATAATAATAATAATAATAATAATAATAAGCAAAAGTAACATTCAAGAAAGGTAGAATTACAGAAACACCCTTAATAGATTTAGATTTTGTCACAAAGATTAGGGAACTGGAGCACGATGAAGCTTATAAGTACCTAGG